GCAATGAATTTCCCTCTTAAAACTGCTTTCATTGTGTCCCATAGATTCCGATATGTTGTGTCTGTATTTTCATTTATCTCTAAGAATTTTTTGATTTCCTCCTTTATGTCTTTTGTAACCCATTGATCATTCAGTAACATATGGTTCATTTTCCAGGTGATGCAGGATTTTTCCTTCCTTCTTGTATCATTAATTTCCAGTTTCATTCCATTATGATCAGATAAGATGCATAGTATTATCTCTACCTTTATAGTTACTAAAAGTTGCCCTATGGCATAATATATTGTCTATCTTTGAGAAGGATCCATGTGCTCCTGAGAAGAACGTGTATCCCCTTGATGATGGTTAATATATTCTATATATGTCAGTTAAGTCTAGGTTATTGATTGTGTTATTGAGTTCTATAGTTTCTTTATTCAGCTTTTGTCTGGAGGATCTGTCCAATGGAGATAGCGGTATGTTGAAGTCACCCGTAATTATTGTGTTGTGGTATATTTGACTTTTGAACTTGAGGAGAGTTTGTTTTATGAATGTTGCAGCACCATTGTTTGGTGCATACATATTGATAATTGTTATGTCTTGTTGGTGGATGGTTCCTTTTAACAGTATATAGTGTCCTTCTTTATCCCTTTTGATTAACATAGGTTTGAAGTTGATTTTATTTGATATGAGTATGGCCACTCCTGCTTGCTTCCGAGGACCATGTGAGTGGTATGATTTTTCCCAGACTTTCACCTTCAGACTTTGTATGTCTTTTCCTATCATATGAGTCTCCTGAAGGCAGCATATTGTTGGATTTGTTTTTTCAATCCAGGTTACTAGCCTATGTCTCTTGATTGGTGAATTTAAGCCGTTAACGTTTAGGGTTACTATTGATATATGGTTTGTACCTCCAGTCATGCTTATTTATTTATTTATTTTAATATGGCTAGTTTTTCCTCTTTGGTTATTTTTTTTCCCCCTTTACTGAGTTACCTCCCACTGTTAGTTTTGGGTGCAATGACGCGGTACATGGGGGTGATGCACTCTATTCGCTGCCATCTTCCCCATCCCTCGCTCTTTAGTTTTTAACTTCTATCATCAGATTTTGATTTTTGTGTTAGCTTGTGTATTTGTTTATTTTTGGTAATTGAACCCAGGGGTGCGTAACCACTGAGCCACACCTCCAATCCTTTTTTAAATATTTCATTTAGAGACGGGGCGTTGCTAAATTGCTAAGTGCCTCACTAAGTTGCTGAGAATGGCTTTGAACTTGCCATCCTTCTGCCCCAGCCTCCCGAGCCACTGGAATTATAGATGTGGGCCATGGTGCCTTGGGTAGTTTGAAATTTTTTATGTGAACCTTAGAGTCATCTTTTAATTAGTGTTAGCTAAATCCACTTATATTTATTGCTACCAATAAGTTTGATCATATAACTTATTTTCTGATGTTTTTTTTTTTTTTTTGCTTCCTTGATATTTATTTTCATTTTACATGGACTATGCTTCATTTACTTCATCCTTATTGGTGCTTTAGAAGATTTATATTATCTTTATAATTCAGCCTATAGGTTTTTAAAAAATCTTCCTCACATATATTTCTAAATTTTTCAATGTCAACAATGAAACTAACTTATGATTTTCTGGCATATAAAACGAAGTCTTTAATATCCACAAGTATATTCTGATCTTGTTTCCTTCCTTTCCTTTCTTTCTTCCCCTTGTTTTTCTTGTCTTCATTTTCTTTCTAATTTCCCTCAGAAAACATTTATTGTATATTTTTGGGAGATTTATGCCTTCATATAAATTTGAAAGCTATAAATAAGCTTTAATACACTATAAACTGAAATCTCATTTCTTTGGAAACACAGAACCTTACCAGGATCTGAAAAAAATCTCCTCATCCATGATTGTTTTGGTAACAGGAGATAAAGATTTTAGAGGTTGATTTATATTGTTTAACAGAAAGGAGTTTTGTTTGCTTCTTTTTTATATCATCCTATTTCCCTTTTATTATTAAGATGATGTTTTTCAGCCCAGTGCAGTGACTTATGCCTGTAATTTGAGCAGCTCAGGACCTGAGGCAGGAGGATTGCAAGTTCACAGCCAGTCTCAGCAATGTAGGATGGATCTAAACAATTTAGTAAGACCTTGTCTCAAAAAAAAAAAAAAAAGTTGGGGGGGATTAGAGATGTGGCACAGTGGTTAAACACCCCTGGTTCAATCACTGGTACCAAAAAAAGATGTTTTCACTTTGGCTATTTCATTTCTATATTTGGAATACTGTTGCTTTAAGTTTGTTGATTTAAAAAAAAATCCTAATCTTAGAGACATATTCTTTTAATTGGTATGTGTAAATTACTTTTATCATAATAAATCTATTTGATCTTATTTAATTGAATTTGTGATTCAGATAATATTTTATTAAGCAACCTGAACTTCAATGGTGTTATACACCTCCAGTATATATAGTTTACATGTATATGTGTATATATTTCTGAATATTTTTATTTTTAATTTTTCAGCGCTTAAGACAGCCTTCTCCTATAGTTCCTGCTCTTCAGAACAAAATTACAAGCAAACTCCAACGACCTCCTTCAGTTGACAGCATCATAAGTTCCTTTATTCATGTATATGCTTTTTGTTTTTGCTTGTTAATCTTCATTTACTTATTTTGAATTGAGGTATTGGATGAGATTTTCTTATTTATATTTTGGTAGGTTAAATTTTTTTAGATCTGAAATATAGGCAGTATCTCCATTAATCTGTTTGTTGCTGCAGTTTATATTTGGATCCCGGAAGTTGAGTATTTTTGACAAACTATAGTTTGTCAAAAGGTTTTGTCCAGGCTCTTCAAGAAGGTCCTTTCTTTGAAAAATTACCTTCAAGCTGCTATTGTTACGCTTATGAAGTCCTTTATATTTTATACTGAGTTATAATCAAAAGAGAACCAGGAAAGTCTTTTAGAAGGGTTGATCTTTGAGCTAATGCTTGAAGAATGAGTAGGAATTTGCCATCAAGAGAAACAGGGTGAAGGACCTTTAGCATGCACAAATTGGCTAGATGGAAGACAGGACAGACATGTGTGTTTTTGGTTTGGTCTATATTTATGATGCTTTGTGGTAAGGCAACAGAGAGGGTAGAGAACAACAGATTTAGGGTATTGGAGAGTACTGAGATTTAGACTTTATGCCATAGGCTTATGGATTCCAAATAGCCTAATTACCCAAATAGGCAAAGAAGCGTTTTAGAGAAACATTTTACTAAATTCCATCCTCTGAGAATCTTGATTCAGTTGGTTTGTGGTACAAAATGCATGGAAATTCATTGCAGTATTAAGCAGGAGAATGACATGGCCAGTTTAGTTTTGTATAATATTATCAGGCAGTAAAGAGTGTAAACATGGAGACAAGTTGAGATGCTTTTGTAGAAGTCCAGATGTGAGACTTTGAGGACTTAAAGGCATTGGTACAACGAACTGAGAAGGGTGGGGGTAACACCCTTTATATGAAGACATATAAACAGTGGTATCTCTCTCTCTCTCTCTCTCTCTCTCTCTCTCTCTCTCTCTCTCTCTCTCTCTTTTGGTATTGGGATTGAACCTGTAGGTGCTTAACCACTGAGCCACATCCCCAGCCCCCTTTTTTTTTTTAATATTTTATTTAGAGACAGGGTCTCACCAAGTTGCTTAGGGCCTTGTTGAGTTGCTGAGGCTGGCTTTGAACTCTTGATCCTCCTGCCTCAGCTGCCCAAGTCACTGGAATTACAGGCATACATCACCACACCCAGCAAAAAGTGGTATTTCTTGACCTAGTGTATGGTAGGTAGGAGTCAATGGTAACTTTAAAGCTTCTGGTAAGGGTTACATAGAGTAGGGGGTTGAAAATATGAGCTGTGGCTGAGGAAAGAGTTTTGAACTAAATTTTGGAAAGTTTTGGAAATCATTAACGTATTGTTGCTTAGCAAATTAGTATGATCCTCTAAGATGAATGTATAGAAGAAGTAAAAAGGGCTGAGAATGGAACACTGGGGAATTTAAAGTGTTTGAGAAACAGAGAAAAGAATAGACACAGAAAAGGTAAGAGAAAGTGGCAATGGTATCAATTGCTACTGGCCAAAAATAAGGACTTAAAATAGTCACTAAGCCAGGCATGGTGGTGCATGCTTGTAATCCCATCCACTCAGGAGGCTGAGGCAGGAGAATTGAGAGTTCAAAGCCAGCTTCAGCAAAACTGAGTCACTAAGCAACTCAGTGAGATTCTGTCTCTAAATAAAATACAAAATAGGACTCGTGATGTGGCCCAGTAGTCGAATGCCCCTAAGTTCAATCTCTGGTACCGAAAAACCAAACTAAACCAAAATAAAAAACCCCACCAAGGTGTCATTTGGGGACCACTTTGTGACTCTGGCAAAGGCAGTGCTGCTGGAGTAATAGGGTATAGAACAAAAGTAATAGTAATTGGGTGTTGAGGAGTAAATAACAGTAAGAAAGTAGACCCTGGAAGTATGCATTTATTATTCCTTAAAGAAACCTGCCTGTGAAGGGAAGAAAGGTTAGGTAAGAATTTTTTTAAAGAAGAGGTAAGTTTTATGCATAGACTTAAGAAGAAGAAGTTGGAAAAAAGAAGATAATTGAAAGCTGGAATCAATCAGATTTAGAGTATGGATGAAGGGATTGTCTTTTAATAGAGGCATGGATCCTTCTATTGTTATAAGAAGAAAGTTGAGACACAGTTGTGGGCAATTTTTATAGGTAGGAGAGAGTGTGGAGTTGGGTTCCTTTACATATAGGTAAAATTACTTCTTTTAAGCATTTGAGTAGAGGAGATATAATGACATGTTTGCCATTGTTGTTGAACAGGAAAGTTCCATGTCCAGGGCACAGTCTCCTCCAGTACCTGCCAGGAAAAATCAGCTCCGTGCAGAAGGTAAATTTTGAACCTGTATTCTACTCCTAGAGTGTATTTCTTTTTTTTTCCCCCCACTTTTTATTTTGATGTGATTATAGACTTGTAGAAAGTTGCAAGAATAGTATAGAGAGGTGCTGTGTGCCTTTCCAGTTGGTTCCCCCAGAGTTAACATCTTATGTGGTAACCTTGGTAATCTCTATGTGGGACCTTCACTGATTTCACTAATCTTTACTTGTATTTGTGTGAATGTGATTTTAGGCTTGGTAGGTTTTATTTGTGTAACCATGACTGCAATTTGGTTTCAGAACTGTTCCATCACTACAAAAGAACTCCTTTGTTCTTCCTCTCTGTAGTTATGCTGCCCATCCCCAAGTATCTCTCTTAGCATGAAATTCCTATATTATCAAAAAATGGGTTCTACGGTCTTGATGATGTTCCTAAACATGATCCATGTATTTATAAAACAATTCTTTCATAAGAATTTCTCTCTGTGCTTTTTAGTGTATTATAAGTTAGGCTGTGTTTTAGTGCTTTATCTTTTGTTCTTATTCTTGCCTTGTGTTTTACTTGGGAATTTGCAGAGGAGAAAAAAAATGTAATTATGGAATTATCAGAAATGAGAAAACAGCTTCGTAGTGAAGAGAGGCGTTTACAAGGGCAGTTGCTACACATGGACAGTGATGATGAAATTCATATAAGGTAAATTTAGAATTGCGTTTTTTTTTTTTCTTGAGTTCTTTTATCTGTGTCACTTATCCAGTGATTTTATAATTTTAGAACATGACTACCTCATTTTGCATTCTTATTTTCCCTTTTTTAGTCTTATGCGAAACTAGGTGTAGAAATTTAGTCCTTAAGGGAATACTGATATTGGAGTAGAAAATTTCAGAATTGGAATAATCACTGAAAATCCCATTGTATTTTTTTATATTTTTTAAATTTATTTTTTATTCTAACTTGTTATATATGACAGCAGAATGCATTACAATTCATAATACACATATAGAACACAATTTTTCATGTCTCTGGTTTTATAAAGTACCATTTTAGAACTGTGTTTTACATTTTCCTTCAATAATGTAATGCTTTCTGGAATACTTATGTTCTAGTAAAATCACAAAAAGGTTTCCAAACATCTCTGAGCATTTTTACCAGAAGGACTTATAAATTTTCAAAGCAGTGTTCTTCAAATTGTAAGTTGTAATATTTTAATAGGTTCTGAAGTCAACATAGTGGGTAATTTATTACTCTTTTTTTTTTAAGTAAACTTTGTATTTTGGAATAATTTTAGGTTATAGAAAAGTTGTAAACACAGTACAGTTTTTGTACACCCTTCATCCAGCTTTCCCTGTTGTTGACATCTTATATTACCAGGGTACATATGTCACAACTAAGAAGGTGACATGAAATGTTACTGCTAATGAAATTTTTGGATTTCTCCTATTTCCCCATTAATGTCCTTCTTCTGTTCCAGGGTCCAGTAGAAGGTTCTGCATCACATTTAGTTGTCAGGTCTTTCAGTCTCCTCTGGCCTGGGACAATTTCTCAGTCTGGTTTTCATGACTTTGAAAGTCTATAGAAGTATTGGTCAGGGAACCAGTCTGGATTTGTCTGATGTTTTCTGATGATTATAATGAGTGAAGTCCTATTTTCCCATTAAATCCTAAGAGTGGACCATGATATCACATGCCATCCATGCTAATATTAACCATCATTAAAGTAGTGTTTTCTAAGTTTCTCCACTGGAAGGTTATGAAGAGGGGGTAGAGTTAAGCTCTATCTAATAGAAGGGATTTATCCACATATCTTATTTAAAATTCTTCAGTAAGAAATATTTCTCTTTTTTTTTCATTATTTAGTTATTCAATTACTTATATCTCTGTTGTCTCATATATATTTATTTTGTACTTTGGGGTATAATCCAATATTACATTATTTATTTTGTTGCTCCTATTATTCCAGCTTTGGCTATTGGAAACTCTTTTAGATTGGCTCCTATGTCTCTTTTATCTTTGACTCGTCTTCATCCTTTTTTTTTTTCTTTTTGGTACCAGGGGTGTGTGTAACCATGCCTGGCCATCCTTTTGTTTGTGATACTTTGTTTCTTTCTGGTACTTCAAGATACTCCTGAATCATCTTCTATTTTCCCTGCCCCAGTTCTAAAATCAGCCATTTCTCCAAGAAGTTCTAGTTGTTTTGGGAGAATAGTATTTAGAAACAAACCTCTGGTCCCTGGGTGTGCTTGTTAATAAGGTGCCATTGCTTCTAAGTCCTCTTAGTGAACAGAGCTAGATGATATGTATGCTTAGTCATAAACTTATCTTGAACTGTTCCTGATTCTCTCTTTGTATATGAAGTACATACTGATGTCTGAGTCTAATCTGGTATGTGGTGTGATTTTAATATAGCATGTTAACTTACCCAGTCATGCTTTACATTTTTATTTTTTGATGTTATAAATGTCTTAACTATGGCAACATTTTTCATCTTCAAAACATCTGCATTTAATTCAGTATAGTTAATTATTGACATTTTATTCATTTTCATTAATAAATTGAAGTCTGCTCTCTTCTGGAAAACCACTGTGATTCAAGAAAGAGAATGAGGCAGACTTTGAGTTTTCTCTTTTGAAAATTATACATTATTATTTTTACCCTGTGAGTTTCTAGTGAAGAATAAATAAATGTATGTTTTTGGAAGTACTTTGTGATCTCAGTCCTAAATTTAAAAAAAAAATAGAATTTTCATCTTTTAAATTAGAGCTGGTTAAATACATTTACTTTGGTATAATTTTATTATGTATCACATTTAGAGTCACCTTAAGGTTGGTTCTTTAATTTCATAAATATCTTCACAAAAATAAATCTCTTTTTAATTAATTCATAATTATCAAGCTCTATTTTGTGCCTGGCACAAAACAGATATGATGTAGCTCACATGCAAATGTGATTTAAAACCTAATTCATAACTAATCAGCCTATTTAACTCTTAGCTTTATGGAAATTAGGCATCCAATTTTGGATATTTATTTTACTGAATCTCCATAGAGTTCCTGTCACCCTATGTGAGTATTGGAGGTCTGTGTCAGCCTTGATGGAGTTATTTTATGGACCTAGGAAATGCCAGAAAGGAAACTCCATGAGTAGCATCACTGCTATGAAGAATCCAGATATTCCTATCTAGGGGCTCAGGAAAGATTTAATGATAAAGAAATGAAGGACGGAGTCTAACTAAGCCTCATATTATGTCTGTAGCTTGGTGCTGCATTTCCAAAAAGAGTACCTACCTAGTGCTGAGGGAAGCAGCAGTAAATATTTGGTTTTTTATTTTCTGAACTAAACTTACCATTCCTCATCCCTATCCTTTCTTATCCTAACTCCCCAAATCTATAGCAGAAAACTTATTTTTTTTAAAAAAATCGTATTTTTTTAAATACCTTTATTTTGTTTGTTTGTTTTATCACTTATTTATTTTTATGTGGTGCCTCATACATGCTAGGCAAGTGCTGCATCACTGAGCCACAACAACCCCAGCCACAGAAAAATTCTTCCTAAGGTTTCTGCTTATTATTTATTTCCTAGGTACCACAGGAATAGAATATTAATTGACTAATTTAAATATTAAATTCCCTGGTAACATTGTATAAAATCAGAGTTGGAGGGCTGGGGTTGTGGCTCAGTAGTATGAGCGCTTGCCTCACACACATGAGGCACTGGATTTGATCCTCAGCACCACATAAAAATAAATAAAGGTATTGCGTCCATCCATCTATAACTAAAAATCAATGTTGGGGACTTTGCACAATAATCTTTATATTGAGTAGCACATTAATATTATAGTTCTTTGTGAAATTTTTACTTTGGGCTGAGGTTATATTTATAAGCCAGGTACTATGCTAGGTACTTTACATGATATCTCTTAATTCTCCTGCTGATAACATGATTATATTGGATACATATTACCTTTGTTTTAAAGATAATGAAATTAAGGTCAAACTGCCAATAAGTAGAAGAGCTGGTCTTTGAATCTATGTCTCTGACCTCAAATATTGTGGTCTCACGAACATTTAAGGCAAAGCTGAATCATTCCACTCTTCTAAATTTGAATGTGAGCATTTTGAAAGATTATAATGACCTTATATGCCCTATTTTTTTAAAATATAAGAATTAAAATAACAGAGCTGTTAATTTTTATAATATACTGTAGCCCCCATCCAGTGTGGGCTACTGAACCGAGGTCATATTTGGGGCGACACAAAATGACCATGCAGACACAGAATACCTTTTCTGGGCGTCAGGATGGCTTCTCAGCCTCAAGCTCCCACAAAGTGGGGCAAGAGAAAAAAACGGGAGGCTGGTGAGAGAGGGGGAATGGTCTGAGGCTTGGTTTTTATTTCTGGAGGGAGCTAATCCATGGAACATTCTATTCAAAAAAGGGCAGAAGGGTAGGATCACAACAAACAGGTGGGTGTAATCCAACTCCATCGGGTGACGCCCACTCACAGAGCTACACCTTTCTTATCTGAATAGTAGGGTGCAATGCCAGTCCAGGACCTCTTTACTCGGGACTTAAAGGTGTATACATAGCTCCTGTCCAGGGCAGCTCCTGAACAATATACTGTGGTGAAAGATGCCAAATTTATTTTATAGTGAATTTAGTTTTTCTTCCAATAAAATACATTTATCATATTTTGTCATTTGTCTGCAGGAAAAGGAATCCCATGGATATATTTGATATGGCTAGACATCGGGTACAAGCTCCTGTCAGAAGACAGTCACCTAAGGGCTTAGATGCTGCCACTTTTCAGAATATTCATGATTTTAATGAGCTGAAAGACAGAGGTAAGTACCTATTATTCCTTTAAAGATACAGCAAGAGTATTCTACCTTTCAGAAATCTTTAAAGATGTTTGTACTCTGTGTTTTTAGGTAAAATTTCACTTATAATGCATGTTTTAAATTATGATTAATAAAATTTAGATATACTCTAGGTCTTCAGTTTACCAATGTGGTAGATGAAACTTCAATTTGGCTAAACATTTTCTTTTGGAGAGTGTATCACTGTAAAAGCCTCAGTGTATGGGGGAGATTATATAGACTAGTATGAAGAATGGAACTTGGCATTTAGTGGAGGATGGATAGCTGAAGATGAGTTAATGAGAAAGGCTGAGGAGGAGAAACTAGACCAATTAGAGGAAAAGCAAGAGAATGTGGGATCCTGAAAATAGAATAGAGTAAGTGGATCATCAAGGGGAAGGGATCCAGTGAGAAGAATGTCAGCAAGTTGTCAGTTGAATCACAGGCATTGCTGACTACGAGCAGGGAAATGATGGGATTAAAAGCTGATTAACTTTGGCTTGAGGATTGACTCAGGCAGTAGGCCTAAAACCACCATGGGAGAGAAAGAAAAGGCTGTAGGAGCTACAGAATTTGGTAGGATTTAGTAAGAAGAGCTTTTGCAGAAAAAACTTAGGGTACAAGAAAAGCAAGAAATCATCAACAGAGCAGCAGCCCTGAGTAGGCAGGAGGAAATCAAGGACATTTAAGGGATAAGAGTTGATAAAATATTTGATGTACCCTTTTAGGGGGAATGGGAGAGAAATATTAGTAGGGAAGCAGGATTGTATGAGGAGCCAAAATCTATGTTGTATGTGAGTTTTATTCTTTTTTTTTTTTTTTTTTTGAGCATTCAATAGAGCAGGTGTTAGAGCAGAGAAGGCAAATTATGAGATGTGTGGTCATCCAACAATATCAGATAAGCTAGAATTTAAATTTTTCTTATTATTAGTGCATTATAATTATATATAACATTGAGGAATTCATTCTAAATATTTGTACATGCTGTTATTTTTAAAAGGAAGATGCATTGATTATAGCAAATACATATGGAGATATAGGAAGAGGGAGAAATCACTTTAGTTAAGCCATACTATTAACATTTTGGATGTAGTCTTTCTGAGCATAATTAAAACAAAAAAAGTAAGACCAAAACAGATCATGTAATTTTCTCTTTTCACTTAAGTACACTTATATATCATCAATGACATATGCCATAGTTTTTTTTTTTTTACTTTAATGCTATCATTTATTGATTACTTACTGTCTGCTAGGCATTGTATTAAACCATTTGATTTCACAGTTTAGCCTAGGGGCCTGTGACATCAGAGCTGTTTTTATTATAAACCAAGCCATTTTTTTTCTCTCCATTTTCACTCTATGCTGTGCATATGAGTTTTCCAGAAGCTACATGATAAATGATGACATTTGTATTCTTGTGTATTTTTATGTTACAAAAACTACTTAATATTAAATATGGCAAATATGTATGTGTGTATGTATATGACACATAAATAACAATTTTTGTAAGTATAAAGAGATTTGAGATGAAAAAGATTTAAACCATAGAATTGGACCGTTCATTTCCCTGTGTTACCACATCCAGTTCTCATTCAGCCTATGACTTGGTTGTTTGTGTTGTTTTTTTTTTGCAGAGAAGAAACTGAGTCTGAAAGTGGTAAAGCCAAGGTCTCATCCAAATTTGTATCCAGAGCTTCATCTATTCACTTTGTTCTCCCTTAACCATTTTTCAATTCTTAGATATTATATGTGTTTCCCATATTCTCTATTATGTGCTTTTGATAATATCTAATTACAAAACTTTACATATTTAAAACCATTACTTTATCCCAACAGTGTAATTAGTGGGTCAAAGAGAATAATATTCTCAAGATCCTTTTTATTTATGAACTGTATCTATAATCTCAAGATTTAAAATTAGTATTTAACATTTTGCTTCTGATCAATTGATAACTCATGCAATTTTGACAGAGGCAAGTTTTTAGATCATCATTTCTTGTAGAATGATATCCTTCCTAAGGTTCCCATAATCTGCACTTATCTTGCTTTCTGCATGATATTTGCAAGGGATAAAATATTAATTGGCCCATAACAGTTTTCATTTTTTCAGTGTATTTTAGGGATCAGACATGATTACAGTGTTCTCATGGCTTCCTGAGTCATAGCCATGTGACTAACCACTTGGATACATCTGCACATAGTTGCCCTGCTGGTGTCTGGGTGGCTTCTTGTGAGAGTGAGGCAGGTAGGGATGCAGAGTATATCATCACAAGCTGCTGCTTATTTTAGGAGTTTTCTTAAATGTTGATAAGCCCGTGAAAGGGCATTTATTAAAGAATATGAATTTTTATGGCTATCTTAATGTCTTTTGATTTTGGTGGTGTCCCACTATTTAGGTTGTTACTTATAGTAAAGTTTTATAAGGATTTTTTAATTTGCTTGCTCCACATATGGAGCAAACTCAACTTTTTTTTTTTTTTTGGAGAGAGAGAGAGAATTTTTAATATTCATTTTTTAGTTCTCGGCGGACACAACATCTTTGTTGGTATGTGGTGCTGAGGATCAAACCCGGGCCGCACGCATGCCAGGCGAGCGCGCTACCGCTTGAGCCACATCCCCAGCCCCTTATAAGGATTTTTAAAAACAAAAAAATCAATAAACTTTATTTTCTAAAGCAGTTTTAGGTTCACAGTAATATTGAACAGAAGGTACAGACAGTTCTCATATACTCCGTGCCCCCACGCATGCACAGCCTTCTTATTCTGGACAGTCTTGCACTATAGTGATACATTTAAGCATGATCAGTGAACTTAACATTGACACATCATTTCTACCCTAAAGCTGATAGTTTATATTAGGGTTCATTCTTGATGTTGTATATTCTTTCAATTTGGATAAATGTATAATGATATATATCCACCATTGTAGTGTCATACAAAATAGCTTCACAACCCTAAAAATCCTCTATGCTCTACCCATTCATACCCTCCCAACCCCTTAATCCCTGGTAATCATTAATCCTTTTACTGTCTCCATAGTTTTGCCTTTTCTAGACTGTCATATGATTGGAATTATACTGAACGTTAGTTTTCTCAGATTGGCTTCTTTCACTTAGAAATATTCATTCAAATTACCTCCATGTCTTTTCATGGCTCAATAACTCATTTCTTTTTATTAGTGAATAAATATTCCGTTACTTAATAATATACTATATCTATTCACTTCCTAGAGGATATGTTGGTTGCTTTCATGTTTTGACAATTATAAGTAAAGCTGTTATAAATACTTGTGTGCAGGTTTTAGTGTCTGTAAAAATGTCATTTGAAAATGAGCTTTAGCTTTAGTAATCTATTTTTTTGTGTGTCAGATTCAGAAACACGAGTTGATCTGAAACTTTTGTACCCGGATTCTCCAAGAGATCGTCATACCTTAGAGATTCAGCAGCAAGCCCTGATAAGAGAGCAGCAGAGACGGCTGAATAGAATAAAAATGCAGGAAGGTGCTGAAGGTTAGAAACAGTCATTAAAATTACAGAAACTATGGGTAGATTGGTTTCTTGTCAGCTGTATGTCTCTTGTATTGATTTCAATTGCCAGCAGCCCCCTCCCCACATAGTTCCATGCTCACATGGTGTTTTTGACACATTGTACCAGAACTCTCTAATTGGCTTGGGTAAGGGTCCTTTATCCATGGATGAGAGGGCCCAGCCATTCACTCTAGCCAGTAGGATTGAGTACTTTGATTATTCCAGGTGACATCTGTACTAGGAACTGGAACCAAAGGAAGGAATGCTGAGCCAACACATTAGTGCCCTATTAAGCATGTGTCTACTGTGTGTGGGAAGTATGGCATAAAGTGTGTAAACCATTATTAGACTGGATTATGTTTTTGTTTAGTCATTCAATCAACAGATAGTTACAGTGTATCTACTAGGAGCACAGATAACTGACCTATATTCAGGGAATATGGTGTTGAATGAAGTAGGCTACTGCTCTCAAAGAGCTTATACTTTATTGAAGTGATGGATGTTGCGAAAGAGAAATCTGGGGTCCTGTGGGAATGTGTAACTGGGGATAGGCATGAAGGTGGTGGCCACCTGAAGGCAGAATGGAGCTAGTTGTCTCAGAGAATATCAATGGGTGATTCTGATACCCAGGTTACTGCATGGCCCCCAGATCTGTTTCTCATCCATTTTGTTAGCTTTCATGCCACTGACAGTGGCCAAAATAAAAATGAGTTCTAAAAACACAGCAATCAGATAACAAGAATCGGAGGGATGGTCCTACCAGTTATTTTTATGAAAATTTAAGATCCGTTCCTTAGGGACGCTTGACTGGCTTGTACAATATGAAGAAGTTTTTGACCTCATGAGATAGCATCACAAGAGTAAGTAATGTAATTCATTGGGCCCAGATCATCGGTGAAAACTTTGTATAGGGGACCTCTTCCCTTCATCTGGTTCAGAATTTTTAGTAAAGACCTCATGTATTTTCCTGACAGTGGAATGACCCAAATGTACATCATCTGGAGAGAAAATTCATTAAGCAGCTTTCAATCTTTATGTCCTTGTGGTATTGTGTTTGCCGAGTTGCATGCGACTAAAACACTCAGGGTCACTCCAGGGGAACTGGGCTATGTGAAATAAACACACAAGAGACAGAAATGTCTTTTTCATTGAGGGTGCTGTGACGGCTCCTCTGACCTTAAGGGTCTGCAGAAAGAGAGCGAGTGAGCCCGCAAGTGCTGACCCCTTTTATTGAGGAGAAGTCATTCTGACCCCTTTTATTGAGGAGAAGTCATTCAAATGAGGCAAGGGGTCAGGTTTCGGGGGGCTGAGTCTAGCTTCATGATGTCTGCTATCAGCAGGTTGACTGATATCTAGTTAGGCCATATCCAAGGGCAGAGTAAGAGAAGGGGACACACAATGGGCATTTCCATGGAACATTCTATCCCAAACAGGGCAAAGGGTAAATATCACAAGGGAACAGGTGAGTTCCATGGGAATATAGGGGATATAGGAAGGCACGCCCATGCATTTGCTTTTTCTCAACCCTAAAGATCGGGGCTACTATCTTTGGTTACCTAAGCAACCAGATCATGGGGTGACCGAGAATGCCACACCGAACAAAAGAGGAGTAAACACTTGTAACATGCTATGTCGGCCTCCCACAGTATTGTTTTTCTTTACAACTCTCAAATGATGGTCTGATCTTGTGGGACCTTGTCAACTTAGACTGATTAGGCCAAAAGTATTCCAGGAGGATACAGATGCATGATCAAGAGTATCCATCCCCACAGGAATACCCTCTGACTTCAGCAGATACTATGATAATGTAATTCATAAGAATATGGTCTAACTATTAATAGTCACAAAGATGTCTGTAAAATATTTTGAGAAGAAATGTATGCTTATCATTGGCAGCCTCTATTCCCAGAGGCAGTTTCTAAAAGGAAAAAATGTTTTGGAGAAACATTTGGAGAAACAGGAAGGCTGGTTAGATTGTAGAGACTTGGGATCCCTGATCCTACATTCTGGCCCTTGGAATCAGGTGCCAAGAATGAACTTATTTCAGTTCCTTGTTCAGTTTCTCTCAACATTCTATAGGCTATAGAAATATGATAAAAGATGGTGAGAAACCCTGCATTGATCATTTTTTTCCCTCTTAAGCATCAATTTTAAGTTCACAATGACTTTACTTATTATATTTACTAATGTGAATGGGAGAATTTTATCCAAATAGAGCAAATGCTGGGTTTTATTTATTAATAAACAAGTAATATTTTAAAAATCTTCATTTGGTAGGTGAAAAGTAATTTCTAGTGTTAGTCATAAAAGATAACTCTGAAATTTATTTTTACTTATTAAACATTTTTTAAACTTTTAATCATTTTTCTTATTGCTTTTATTTTTTAAATACATGACAGCAGGATGCCTAACAATTCTTATTATACTTATAGAGCACCATTTTTCATATCTTTGTATATAAAGTATATTCACACCAATTCATGTCTTTATACATGTACTTTGGGTTTTTTTGCATTGCAATTCTTATTACACATATATACCATAATTTTTCATATCTCTGTTTGTATATGAAGTAGGTTAATCTTGTTTTTATTCTCCATCAACTATAGCTGACTTAAACTCCATCCCCAGTGCCAAAGTACAAGAGCACAGAATGGTAAGTAGCCAGTTCTATTTTTTTTTTTTTTTTTTTGTGGTGCTGGGGATTGAACCCAGGGCCTTAGTGCATGCAAGGCAAGCACTGTATCAACTGAGCTATATCCCCAGCCCTGTAGCCAGTTCTAATTTTTTGAGTTAGATGTTTGTGTGTAAAAATTTTTAGGAAAAGTATTCCAAATTTTAATTCTTCAGAAATATTGAATTAAGGAAGAATTTAAATTTTGTCTCATCAATGCAGTGGTAGCTACAGAAGTATTAGTATAATATGTAGAAAAAACATTGTAATGGCTAAGAATAAGAGTTGAATTAGTCTGTGTGAATTAATCTCTTTTTGGTCATGTGGTTTGGCATATTATTTAATCTCTATGCCTCAGTTTCCTTATCTGTAAAATGAAGATGATAATATATACTTACCTCTGGGGTGGCTGTAAGTATTAAATTAATATTTATAAGTCATTTAGAGACAAGTTTGACCTAAAATAAGTTCTGCTTATTAAATAAAAATGTAGCATAAGTGTTATTTGTGATAATTATGTGAGGCTAATTAGAGTAGGGCCTGGCTTATATTGGGTACAGTTAGCATTTTCTGTTATCAACGTTAGTATTAATAGGGGTTACTAATAAAAGTAGTGGTGAGGCCTATAAAGAAAATAAGCAAGGCAAAGGAGATAGAGTGACAAAATGTCACCTCCTCACTCTTATACTGAAGTGACATTAGTATAAGACTGAATGAAGGGGAGGGGGTGAACTGTTTTCATTTAGCAAATACTTGTGGAAACTGTTTCACATGTCTGGGGTATAGGAGTCAACATGAAAAAACAAATCCCTGCCCTCTGGAGGCTTGCATTCTGGAAAGAGAGACAATAAATAGATCTATATTATGTTAAATCATGGTGCTGAGAGAAAATGATAAACAGGGAAAGAAATTAGGGAGTACTGGGGTGGGAGGACTTAATATTTAAAATATAGTGGGTATGGGAACCTCATTGAGGAGGTAATGTTTTTTTTTATTAAGGACACCAGGGAGGTGACCAAGGAAACTATTGGTATTACATATGGAAGAAGACTGTTCCTGGCAGAGGCTTGACAGGGGTTATCTAGTGCATGTAAGGAGCAGGAACGTGGCTGGGAGGTAGGAGAGCTTAAAACAAGGGTGAGGGGGCAAATGGGACACAGGTGAGCAGTGAGGTTTGCCCTTCAGGCCTGCACAGATGATAATAAGTTTCCAAAGTCTTGGTATCCAGGAGTTTCATGTTTCTCACTCGATCACTGACTGCTGTATATTGAGAATAGGCTGAGTGGGATAGATTATTGCAATAATCTAGGCAAGAGATAAACTGGCCTAGACTGGGGGTAGGAGTAGTAGAAGTGGTCTGAAGTTGGATTTACTTTAATAGGAGAAGGTCGAATTTTTCATTGAAAAGATAATGACAGTTAATATCTGGGATTTTGAATAATAGCAGTTTTTGCTCAACATAAGCCTACAAGTTTATTGTGGTTGTTAACAGAAGCTAATGTCTTGGACTCCTGATCTTTCTAGGGGCTGGATTATATGAAAAATTATATAGGATGAAACTGGAGATGATTGTCATGGAAAAGAAGACTTAGGTGGACTTTGATCACTCTTCATTTATGTGAAGGACTGTGATACAGAAGAGAGGGTTGGGCAGTATGTGTGAAGTGCTCAGAATGGCTGATTCAGACCCTTTGATTCAGCTGATATGATTATCATTATTATCTTCTACAAAGTAGAATCATTAGGTAGTAAATTAAAAAGGAGATATCAATGCAGCATATGGAAGAATTCAGTATAAGAGAATGTTTTTATAATGAATGCTATTCATGGGTAGAATTCATTGCCTTAAAAATTAAAGGCAAGCCATTATTGTTCAAGTGTTCAAGTGTTCTAGCAAAGCCAAGAAATCTACTTAAGGTGGTGCAGAGAAGTCTTGTTCAATGATTTTAAGTTCCTTTTGATATAAAAGTGGCATTATTCTTTACTGTAAACTTCTCTACTTGTAAATTTGTTACCTCTCATTTGGGAGCTAATTATAATGCTAACCCAATAGTAGCATTATTTTTTCCTTGCTCTGTGTCCCATCATAACTGTACTGTGATCATCATGACAGTTGTTATTGCATATGTTCATCATTATCTGAGGGCATGCCCTTCTCCTTGCTGTGGGACTATGATCCCCATCTACTCTGGAGTAGAAGCTCTTAATTCACCTTTTATCTAGGAACTTGTATGTATATTATACACAGATTTATTGAAAGGATGAGTGAATCTCAGCAATGGTTTTTAAACTTTTAATACTTAATTGGATTCATTACTTTTATATTTTCGACAGTAATGCTATCCTTTTTTTTTTTTTTTTTTTTTGCTTCAACCATAAGAGGGCAGTGAGGAGTGGAATTAAAGAGTAAAAGTCTGCCTGACAAAAATCTCAATCCTGGAATGATAAAGTCAGACTGTTGTCTTCACTATCTTGGTGGGGGTTGTATGTGCTCTCCAGAATTTTCTGGGCACTGGAATGTCAGTCCTACCTCTCTCCCCATACTCTTTGGGGGCACAGTTTTGCTGGCTTTTAGTACAGATTTGTTGTTTTCCCACACAGGACTAATAAAATGTTATTAATATATGATATTTCTTTTAGCTCAGAGATGACACTGATGATTTTTTGAAAAATTCATTATTGGAATCTGATAGTGCTTTTATTGGTGAGTATATTTATTTTAATTCATTAATGCTATCTCATTTAATTATTAGACAATATTTATATTTCTTTTAAGTGCTTTTCTTCGTAACTGGTACTAGGTTGTACAAGATGATTTAAAAAGTAATATTCTATTTTCTCTTTTAATGAATAATCATTAAATATGTCTTTTATAAGATTTTCAAAATCAGAATTACTAAAATAAACTTAAAAAGTCTACACAAAAACCTGTACATAAATTTTCATAACAGCTTTATTTATAACAGTAAAAAACTGGAATCAGTGTAGATGTCCTTCAACAGGTGAAAGGCTAAGCAAACTCTAATAACATCCCTACCTTCAGCACAGCTTTGCAATAAAAAGGAACCACTTGTTGAAATAACTCAGTAACTTGGATGACTCTTTTGGGAAATATACTGAGCAAAAAAAACAAACTGCAACAATTTACATAATGTATACATTCATATATTCACCATGAAACATGCAAGTGGATCTGTACAATAATCTGTCCTTTTGTGACTGACTTATTTCACTTAACATACTGTCCTCAAGGTTCACTCACATCCTAGCATGTTTCACATTCTCCCTCTCCCTTTTGTAAAAAAGGCTGAAACCACTGTACCAAATTTTGTTTATCCATTCATTTGTCAATAGACACTTGAGTTGCTTCTACCTTTTGGCTATTGTAAGTAAGGCTGCTATGAAAGTGGGTGTATAGGGATCTATGGGAGTCACTGCTTTCAAGTCTTTCATGTATTTACAGAGTTGGAATTGCTGAATCATATGGTAATTGTTTTATTGTTTGAAGAATTATCTTCCAGTTACATGGCAGGTGCTGTGTTTTACATTCTCACCAACAATACACAAGAATTCTAATTTTTCCATATCTTTGCAAACAACTAAAAATATTTTTAAAATATTTTTTTAGTCAGTGGTGGAGAATTGAACCCAGTGCCTTACACATGCTAGGCAATTGCTGTACCACTGAACTACAATCCTAACCCTGTTAACTTTTCTTTTCTTTTTTTTTTGATAGTAACTGTCCTTACAGGTAAAACCCTATTGTGGTTTTGATTTGCATTTCTGTAATGATCAGTGAGGTTAAACACCTTTTCACGTGCTTATCTGCAATTCATATATCTTCTTTGCAAAAGTAGCTTTTCAAGTCCTTTGCCATTTTAAAAAATCATGTTTTAAATTGTTGAGTTATAGGAATACGTTAGTATATATTTTACATATTAACCCCTTATCAAATATATTATTTGCAAATGTTTTCTCCAATAGGGGTTTGTCCTTTTCAATTTATAGATTGTGTCCTTTGCATGGAAGTTTTTTATCTTAATTAATGTTACCTTTTGCCCATGCTTTTGGTGTCATATCCAAGAAGCTACTACTAAATCCAGTGTCATGAAGTTTACCTCCTTAGGTTTTCTTCTAAGAGTTACAGTTTTAGCTTTCACATTTATGTCAAAATATATGAGCCAGAAACCCATAGAATTTTAGAAAGAAATAGATGAATCTACTATTGTGTTTGGGAATGTCCCTCTATCAGAAATAGACAGATCCTGTATGCAGAAAACTAGTAAGAACATAGTTGAACCCAACAGTACCATTAATCAACTGGATTATAATGGACATCTATAGACCACTTCATTCAGCAACAGAACAAATATTCTTCTTGGGCACACATGGTATATTCACCAAAATAAGACTACATTTAATTGTTTGGATTTTTTTTTTTTTAATTAGGCACTCTAGATGTGCTGACCCCTGCAATTTCCCCAAATGTGGGAAACTCGACTGCATAATTTATGGTAGTGGGAGACTGTGTTCACACTATCCCCTGGTTCAATCATTAAGAACAGAGCTTGGTTGTTATGGGGTGGTGTTTAGAAAGAGTTATTACTTTCATTCTTTAACCTCCATCTTTTGGGGCAAGACTGTAACAAAATTGTAACTATACCAAAAGCTTTTAATTTTGACCCTGGTTAATGTATGTTTGTATAATGACATCATTAGTCTATGAAGCCTGGATCCTTAAGAATTTTAGAAGGAATTCTTTATAGCGGGGCTCTTTGTTTTTTTACTTGGGAAAACTACAGTTTTTCTCTGACATTTGCATAATTGAGGTTTAAGGTTGGAAATTTAATTTTTTTCTTTTCTCCCCATCAGGATATATTTTCTTGTTCTTATAAAGTTTGTGGGATTAAAGTAGAAAAAAAAAAAACCAAACAACAAAAACCATAAAGCACACCTAATTTAAAAGGAGAGAAATCATCCAATGTCCATTATGATAATGGGGAAAACAACCAGAAATTAATAATAGAAAGATAGCTGAAAAATCCCTAAATACTTGCAGATTAAACCCCACATGGGTCAAAAGAATAAATAAATAAAACATAGGTCAAAAGAACAAAATCTCAATGAATTAAAAAATACTTTGAACTAAATTTCCTTATCAAAATTTGTGAGATATAGCAAAATAGTACTTACAGGGAGATTTAGAGCACTGGATGCATATAATTAGAAAAGTGGAAAAATATAAAATCAATAATATAAGCTTCCCTATTAGGTAGTCAGAAAAAAGAAGAGCAAATGAAGTCCAAGGTGAGAAGAGGGGAAATAATAAAAACTAGAGCAGAAAACAAATTTGAAATAGAAAATCAATAGAGAAAAATCAATGAAACCCAGAGCTCTTTCCCTGAGATCAATAAAATTGATGGCTTTAGCTAAGCTAAGAAAAAGAGAAGATACAGATTACTAATGTCAGAATTGAAAGAGAGGACAATACCATAGATCCAATGGATAATTCAAAGGTCAAGGAATACCATGAACAACCTGCAAATTTGATAACCGAAATGAAATCTAACACCCATTCATGGTAACTCTACTAACAAGGAAGGTAGAGAAACTTCCTCAATTTGGTAAGAGAACATTTATTTAAAAGCCTTCAGCTAACATCAGACTTAATGATAAGAAACTAAAAACGTCCCTGTTGAAATCAGGAACAAGGCAAGGTTGTTCTCTCTCTCCACTCTTAACATTATACTGGAAGTCCCTAGCTGATACAATAAGGCTAGAAAGAAAATTAAAGATACGCTGACTGAGAAGAAGAAATAAGGAGATATAAAGTCATCATTCACTGATGACATGATTACCCATAGAAAATCTGAAAAAAACTCCCAGAACGAATAAGCAGTTATAGCAAAGCTACAGAATATAAGTCCATCATCTTCCTGCATATGAGCAATGAACAAATAGATTTGAAATTGAAAATACAATATCTGGCATAAAAGCACTAGACTAGGAGACAGAGAACGATTCACATAGATACACTTTTCTGATCTTTGACAAAGGTTACAGAAACGTTTGTTGGAGAAAATACAGCCTTTTAAAAAAATGGTGCTGGAAAACTATAATCTGTACATAGAAGAATGAATCAAGATCCCTATCTCTCACCCTGCATGAAAGTTAACATAAAGTGGACCTAGCAATCAGATCAGAAACACTGAAACTCCTAGAAGAAAACATTTCAACATATTGGTACAGGAATCAACTTCCTCATTAAGAATCCTAAAGCTCAAGAATAAAACCAAGAATCAATAAATGGGATGGCATCAAGTTAAAAAGCTTCTGCAAAGCAAACAAAAACATGGAGAGCCTATAGAATGGATTAAATATTTACCAGCTACTCTTTTGAATAGGGGATTAATATCCTATGGATATGTAAAGAACTAAAAAAATCTTAAAACCAGAAAAACAACCCAGTCAATTAATGGGCAAATGATCTAGACATTTTTCAAAAGAAATAAAAATGGCCAAAAAGTAAATGAAAAAATATTCAACATCTTAGCAATCAGGGACTAGTGGGGTAGGAGAGAGGAGATACAGGGTGGGGGGATGAGTGATCAAATTATGTGCATGTTATCATCATGAATCCTACTATTAATGTATAATTATAATGCACCAGTAAAAATACCATTTACATTAGCCCCTCCCCACCAAAAAAGAAACACTGCAGAGTAAATCTAACAATACATAAATAAGTTCTGTATAAAGAAAATCATAAAAAGCTGATGCAAGAAACTGAAAAACTAAACAAATGAAGGCATTCCATATTCATGGAAAGTATGTTGTTAAGATGCCACACTCCTTGCTAATTTAGTTTATATATTCAGTGTAAATTCCAATCAAAATCCTAACAAGTTATTGAGCATATATTGACAAACCAATTCTAAAGTTTACGCAAGGAGGCAAAGATCCAGCATAGCCAGTAAGTGCAGTATCAGAAGAACAAAATTGTAGTACTGTGTGTGTTAGCTTTCTGTTACTGTAACAAATTCCTTACATAAATTAACCTGAAAAGGTTTTTTGGCTCACAGTTTTTAGAGTTTCCAGCCCATGACTGGTGGCCACATTGCTTTTAGGTCTGAGAGTGAGTAGAACATCATGGCAGGAGCATCTGGTAGAGCAGAACCACTCACCTCATGGCCAAGATACAAAAATAGTGGAGGGGACAAAGTTCCCTGATCCCCTTTTGATGGCATTCCCTTAATGACCTAAAACCAGACCTCACCTCTTAAACTTCCCTCCACCTCCTACACTGGAGACTAAGCCTTCAACACATAATGCTTTGGGAGACATTCCACATCTGAACCATAGTACTACTATGGTTCAGAGTATAAGTGACCTTGGATTTGGTGATAACTTTTATGACACTAAAGGCATTGTGAAACAAATAACTGATAAGCTGGACCTCTGTTAAACAAAAACAGGGCGGAGGTTGTGGCTCAGTGTTAGAGCACTTACTTAGCACATGTGAGGCACTATGTTCGATCCTCAGCACCACATAAAAATAAATAAAGTTATCGTGTCTATCTACAATGATCAAAAAACAAAAACAAAAACGTTAAAGGCTCAGAATGTAGATCAGTGGTAGAACTCTTGCCAAACACAGATAAGACCCTGGATTTGATCCCCAGCACCACAAACAAATTTACTTCTGCTCTGGAAGACATTGTCAAGAGAATGAGAAGACAGGACACAGAAAATATTTGCACAAGACATACCCAGTAAAAGACTTAGATAAAATATGCCAAGAGCTCACCTATAAGAAAACAACAACAAAAAAAAGATGGGCAGAAGACTTAAATACACTTCTTCAAAGAAGATATACAGATAAGTGTATGAATAGGTGATTATCATATATCATCAGGAATTTTTAAGTTAAAATGAGATACAGTTATGGAATGTTGGCTAGAAGGTCAACATTCAAAACAATGATGTTACCACATGCTGGTGAGGATGTTGACCAGCAGGAAATATAAATTCATTGCTGGTGTGAAATGCAAAATGGTACAGCTACTTTGAAAGACAAGGTGACAGTTTTGTATAAAAATATAATCTTTCCATATGATTTAATAGTAATATTTGTTGGTATTTACTCAAGGGTAAGGAACCCTTATGTCCATACAGAAACCTGTACATGAAAGTTTATAGCGTCTTTATTCTTATTTGCCCAAAATAGGCAACAACCAAGATGTGTTTCAGTAGGTAAATGGATACTCTGTTCATCAATGGAATACTGTCCAGTGCTATAGAAATGAGCTACCAGTTGGCAGAGGCTGTAAGACAGTAGAGTCTAGCATACACGATCTCCAGCCCTGTGAAGGTAGGGGAAAAATAACTGCCTAAGGACTATGAAAAGACATGAGAGAACCTTCTGTGTGAAAGAAGTCAACCAGAAAAGGCTATGTTAGTTTAGGTGTTGACCTGGGCCTTTGAAGTACTTGCTGATGGGCTTGAGGTGATGGAAATATTCTATCCTTTTTAAAACAGTGCTGAGTCTCAAACTCAGGGTCTTGTACATACTAGACAAACACTCTACCACTGAGCTACCTCTCCAGCCCTCTGATGGAAATATTCTAGATTGTAGTGATGATTCTCGTTTCGGGAATTCACTAAAACTCTTTGAATCATGTATACTTACTGGTTTAAAAACACACTCTAGATTATGCTCTGGGTAAAATGTTTGAAATGCTTAAATGTGTGGCCATTTAGGTGCTTATGGTGAGACTTACCCTGCTATTGAAGATGATGTTCTCCGTCCACCAACACAGCTGCCCTCTGCAAGGGAGCGCAGGAGGAACAAATTGAAAGGACTGGACTTTGTATGTATGAATTATTGTGCCCTCCCTCTTTTTTCCATTTAAAAAGGCGAATGGTCTAGGTTCTGACCCATGATAAATTCCTATAGTCCAATAAAAGAAAGCATTTGCTTTGAAAGTGAAGTGGACATGGTTCTGAATCTAGGCTCTCCCAGCAATTAACTTGATGATCTTATAGCTCCTTAACTCTGCTGCCTTGACTACCTTATTGCCTCTTGGGGTGGTGGTAAAGTAGAAGCTCTGGAAATGGCACAGAAATCTGTCCTGTGTTAATTCATTACCCCAAGCTTCAATCCTTCCCCCTCTGGAATGTATGATTTCAGAAAAGACACTGTACTTATAGAAAGCCTGTTACATTCTCTGAAGAACCTAACTAGGCTTAACTTCATTTGAATCAAGTGAATTATCCAAGGTTTATGGACAAGAGGAATGAAATTCAAACCCATGTTTTTCTCACTATTCCACAGCTTTCTGATGCAGTCAGTAACACATATAGTACATACATGTTCCAGTGTTGTCACTTTCTCATTGGGTAGGCAACTTTTGGCAGTTTCTTAAATTCTGTGTGTTTCCTTCTCTATGACCTGAAGATAACAAATGTTGACGCATTTAGTACTGACCCAGGTAGGCCAGGAGCACTCAGCAAAAAACAGATGCTGCTGTGAATTAGCATTGTTATACATACAGCTTTTCAGGTAGCAGAAATTTTGTTGCCTAGCAACCACTTATTTACTTGGGTCTCTATATAGATTTGCCTTTTCCAGATATTTCATTATGAGATCATATGTGATCATTTGTGACTAGCTTCTTTCAAGTATGTCAGTACATGATTCCTTTTTGTTGCTGAATAATCATTCTGTGTTATGTATAGTCCACATCTTGTTTATCCATTCCACAGTTGATGGATGTTTGGATTTATGCCACTATTATTATTTTGTTTGCTCTTGAGTACACACCTAGAACCGTTGGGTTTTATGGTAACTCTATATTCAGCATTTTGAGGAATTGCCATTGTTTTCCAAAGCAGCTGCTCCATTTTACATTGTAAATATTTTACATTGATAAAATGGCTAGCACATAACTTATTTCCTGACTTTATTATAGCCATCTACTGAGTGTGAAGTGGTATCTTAGTTTTGAATTGCATTTCCCTAATGACATTGAACATTGTCTCATGTGCTTCTTTGAAGGTATGTCTATTCAGATGCTTTGCCCACTTTCAAATTGTTTTTTGTATTATTTTAAAATAATATTTAAAATTGTATTATTTTTAAACATTGACTATAAGTCTTGAAGCAGATGTAAGATGTGCAAATATTTTCTCCCATTTGATAGGCTGTCTCTCTTATTTTCTTGGTAGTATTGTTTTAGAAGTTTTAAATTTTGATGAGGTTTAATCTTTCATTACTTGGGCTTTTGGTGCCTTACGTAAGAAACCATTGCCTAACCCAAGATCATGAGAATTTGTTTTATAGTTTGCTCTTAATGCCATTGATTCACTTTTTGGGGCGCTAGGGATTGAACTCAGGGGCATTTGACCACACCCCTAGTCCTACTTTGTACTATACCGAGTTGCTTAGAGCCTCACTTTTGCTGAGGTGATCCTCCTGCCTCAGCCTCCTAAGCCAGTGGGATTACAAGTATGTGCCACCATACCCAACTCACTGATGCACTTTTAATTTTGTTTCAGATCATTTGTTGAACCCCCTCCCCGCCCAGGCCCCCTTGCATTTTGTTTGCTCCGTATCCAAAAACTTAATAATTTCTTTCTGGATTTTTATTTCTCTTTTATTGATCTCTATATCTGTCCCTCTGCCAGAACTTTATTATCTTCAATCTGAGCCCATTGGCACAGGATTTTTTCCTTTTAGACCCTGTAATTGCCACTCTGTATCCAGTTTAGCAGCATTTCTGTTATTACAAATGCTGTATCTTACCCCTGACTAAAGTCTGTATGGATGAACATAAGAATCAGAATATAGAAGATCCATGTTTTGTTTTATTCTTACAATTATTGAGAGTATAAGGACATATTTTGATTAATTATATTAATTAGTGTTTATGAAGTGTTTTTTTTAATTACAGGATAACAATCCTAATATACCACCAGATGGTCTCTCTTTAAAATCTGTCTCCAGTATTAATGTTGATCAGCTTAGAATGAGAAATGAGGAACGAATGCGAAGACTAAATGAACTTCAGAATAAAAATAATAATGCAGGTAAAAGCTCAGTGGACTATGAAAAATCCTGTAAGAACCCTTATACCTTGGCTTTCACTGATTGCTGAAGTCCTTTGAGCTGTGTGGCTTACATTACAGTAACTATCCAGCAAAACTAGACATTAGCTGACTTAATTTTACATCAGATTCTTTCTTCTGGGCAAAGTATCTATTACAGAGTAGATTCTAAATAGTTAAAATAGTTTTTGCATATGAAATATGTTCAAGTTTTGTTTTCAGCAGGGAAAATGCAGATTAGTATGGTATTTGGTAACTAAAGTGAGAGATTATCAGAAATACTTTTGAGCTTTTAAATAATACATTTTAAAGATAATGCAGATAGATTGGTATTTTCAGGCTGGTATTTTCTCAAGTCATAGTAGACTTTATTATGAGTGGACTCTGATGACTTACAGGTTAAATGTTGTCATGGAGCACATGAGACAGAGCAGTTTACCTTAAACAACTGCCAAACTCCTCAGCCTGCCCTGTCATGCTATTAGTCACCAGCATAATGAAACAACTTTTAATAATTATTAGCTTTAGCAAACAGTAGAGTGGTCTTTTTGGAGAATATCTTTAGTCATACTACGTTGTAGTAACTTACTTTACATCTATTAAGACATTATTTATGGAAAAATGTAGAATAGTAGGAATGTCTTTTTAGCTAAAAGGCATTTTCTTTACTGAGAATTGCCTCTTATAACCTGAATTAAGACTTAAAATGTTCTTTCCCAGATATATCTGTTAAGTCTAATACTTTTTGTTGTTGTTGAGGTTTTTCACTGTCTAAACTGTTTTTTATTTAACACTATCCTTTCAAACAGGAACTTTTTGGTACGATGTGGATTGACTGATCACTAAATTGCACATCTCTCTTTGCTGGGCTAATCGTTCACAGACCAGGAGATGTAAAAAAAATTTTTTTTTAAATAAATAAAGAAATTGACATCATGGGGTAGGAAGACAGATTTTCCTATTATACCTAATAATTCCAATACAGATATGGAAGTACAATCAAATTCAAATAATGACATGGCCTTCTTTAAGTTAGGTATAAGAATGGAACTAATTTTCTCCCAATAGTGCTTTCCCAAAAATGACTCTTAATTTCCATATAGCAGCATTAACTTTGCCAACATGCTTGTGCTTCTGTAGTCAGCTTAATGTTTGATTGAATCACCTTTGATCTTTTTAGAAGCCCTCTGGATGCTAGTGCTATGGAGTCCATTTAGTCAGTTGATCATATTTTCCCCCACAATTCTGGCCTCTTCCTGGGCCTGCTCTGCTGCCTTGGGTGTGTATGGGAGGGTTCAAAGAAACATTCCAGTTCAGAAAATATTGTGGGAGAATGCAGAGTTGTAGTAGGCTGGACTGTAGGCTGCCTGTGTTTGTCACCTCAGTTGTATCTCTTTGTCTCCTGTAGATGATGACAGTTCAATAGTGGACCCTGATGACATCATGAGACACATGGGTGATGATGGATCAAACTCTGTAGCCACTGAGCCCTGGCTCCGCCCTGGCACTTCAGAAACACTGAAACACTTCATGGCAGAACAGCTGAACCAGGAGCAGCAACAGGTTCCTGGAAAACCAGGCACTTTTACTTGGCAGGGCCTGTCTACTGCACACGGTTAAAATAAATGTGTATTGAACCCTGTAGTGCCTTTTAAGGTGGAAAGAATGTTAAATCTATACCTTTAATAATGTGTCCTGAGAGTTAATTACTTAAGGTCCATCTGTATTATTTTTCCATGTGATGTATGTGATGTATATTATGTACATAAATAAAAGGCCATGATTGGTTTATATGATAGAATTGTATAGAATTATTTTGCTCAATTTTTCCATAAAATCAGGGTGGTAATGAACTCTTGGATTCAACTACCATATGTGCATTATTTTAAAAAATTCTGCTTGTCTTTAAGGCAGATAAAATGTGTACTGTAAAATCAGAATATCCTGTTACTTGCACATTTGCCATTGTTATCTATTTAAAATAACACATCTGTGACTATTCTGGTTAATATAAAAGACAAACATGCAAGTTATTTTTATGTCAACTACTGACTCAGTAGAAATTAAGGAAACTAATTATTTTACTTCTGTGAGCCATGCACTAAATGTTATGTCTTTCTGCCTCTCTTATGCCAGTGCTTAAAAAGGGTACTGTCTCAAGTTACTAATTTATATGATTCAACTATTTCTTGACAGAAATAAATTATTTTTCTTACCTCTCTGTTTCTTATTTTAACGGGAATTGAGGTTTGTTTCTAGAGGCTGGAGAGGTAGGAATACCAAAGGTGAAGTGAAGGACAAAGACTTCAGTTGAAGTTTTGCTCCACCACCATGGACCCTTATCTAAAAGTCAGTTTTTCTAATCATCCATTAAGTGGTACTTCAAATTCTGGAAAATAATTCTTAGTTGGAGTCAGGTCTTCAGCACTCACCATGACAGGCACCACTTTTCCAATAGTTTCCACAGTCATCAGTGGCAAACAAGATCAGAAGTTAGCCACAACTGTGAAATTACAGGTAAATTTTATATTCAGTGTGCTGATCTTACCTTTGCTTGCTTTATTATTAAAGACATATCAATATCTGAAAGTCCGAAGACTTGTCTCCTCTGGGGAGAGTCCCGATACCATAGCCAATAAACTGCCAGGCTGTGTGAAGCACGTAATTACCCTCAGACCAGAAGGTCCTGGTGGCTCCCTGGCACTCTTAGCTCTAGCATCCCATCCATCTGGGCTTGAATCAGAGCTGTCCTACCAGTAATAAATACGGTACATGTACAAATGCATGTCCCAAGACGACATGAAAGTGAAGACCAAAAACTTTCCCTGTTTTTTAACACAACCCTCAAAGTATACTGATATACTCCATTTTCTTTAAAGCCATTCACCACATAACATTAACTGACTCTTGGGGGATACAATCTCACATTGCGAACTGCCCCAAAGGGAACTTGAGTGTTTTCTCTCAGCTTTCAAAAAAGATAGTGCCTTATTTGGGTTATTAGTGAATTTACACAAAAAATTATGAATATACTATGGCTTAGAGAGCAGTGTGTGTGGGAGAATCTAATAGTCTTTTCATACTTTGACTTTTAAGAAAAAAAATAAAACATGGGGCTGTGGGTTATGCAGGTTTTCATTGCACTAATGAAATAATCCAAAAACTTTATTGACCTATAACCTGATTAGAATATGCCAGATGAGAATATTGTACAGAAAGTTGTACAGAATTTACATAGAAAACTTTACATCTGTACCATATACATTTTATCCATCTGAAAAAATTTTCTACATCCACTTTTAATACGGAATGCTTGACAATCTTGTCTTTAACCATCAGAGCACAATTCACAGTATGAATACAATTCCAGTAAATCTAACCTCCCAAACCATGCCAGATTTGTTATTTTAATATATTCAACATTAAATTCTGTACATAGAATAAAATCTACATCAAGCCCCGCCACCCAAAATAAAAGAAAGTGACAGCAACCTAGATTCATTTGCAGTGATTCAAGTTTCTGTCCATTAAGGATCATTCTATTTTAATGGCTCATCTTTAAAAGCCCTAAGAGAAGTATATTACAGGTAGTTATTGTCAGTAGGGATATTTTCTACTTTTGTTTTTCCCCCCCGTCGTTGATCTTGACAAATGTCAGTCACAACAGCTTCTGGGCATGTCAAACTCAAAATTTCTACCCCCCCCCCAAAAAAGGGCAAAACTAAAATTCCACACAAAATAAAGACAAAAAGTTCAACCCAAATGTTTAGTGCATTTGACAAAATATTATGGGTGTTTAGCAATTGGATAAGAAAATAAAGAAATAAAATAAAACATTGCAGGAAGAACTATATAATGTTTAAGATTTTTATATTACAGACCTGCATCTCTGTACATTTTTCACAGAAGAATGATTACCAGAATCTCAGATAGCCTGAGTGTGCAAAAATCTTCAGAATAAGAATACCATAGTTGCTAAATATCTTTTACCGTCAACAATAATTCTTTTTCCCCCAACCCCAAATTATAAACATTTTATCCTTCAAAATACAGCTCTCCTGAGTTGTACTTCTTGCAGAAGTTCAATCTTTACATCTATAGTTCTTTGGGTAAGTTTTTCTTCCACACCTGCCAAAAATATGTGGGGCTCTCCCTGCCTCAAAGGACAGAGAAGGACCCATGAGCATAAGCTGACAGAGTTTAAACAGGCTTTCTGCTCATCATGACAAAGAATCCACCAGATCACTGAAAGGGACTGGACTGTTCCAAGTTTTGATTTATAGCTCTAAGCACATTTACCAGTAACCCTCAAACACTGCAATTCTGTGAAACCATTTTTCAGGTAGGAATCCTCAGCTCCAGGGTCCTTTTAAAGAGCAGAGGGATGTAAACACCAACAGAAAAAAATAAGTTCCCATCATTGCTTGTGTAGTCCAAGTTCCTGCTCAGGTGGTTGTGATATCTGAAAAACAACTCCGATTCGCAGAAAAAATCTTCTAAGAACAGCACGAAGTTCAGGAATCAAGTCAAATTGCATAATTTCACATAAGAGAGGATAGTAGAATGATGCGTGAGCTTTAAACTGGGGGGAAAAGTAATTTCTCCGTTAGTAGTGCTTACATTACAAATCAGAGAGCCTAAACTGCCTTTAGAGTTAGCTCTTGGGGGTGTGAACTGATTACGGAATATGGAGGAAGGGCTGAGTATGCCTCAAGCAGTGACTACTTGGATTGTGGAACTGAAAGACTGAGAAGAATTCAACAGACTCAAACTCATTTAATTGTCTATCATCATTTTGAAAAACATTTTCCACTACATATCTTTGATAAATTTTTAGTAATTGAGCACTGTCTGACCTGAGTAATTGCAAAAGTAAGAAATAGCTCTAGTTCCTATTCTATTTCTTTGTATCAGATATGGGTTATTGAAATTATATATTTTGTTAAACAAAAAAGGGAATTATTAAGACAATGTTTACATTTCAGGGAAAATTCTACCTAATATTACAATATAAAAACATTTTCCAGGCAAAGCACATTCAAATTTTTACAGTTCAACTTATATATCTGTACTGAAATCTGCTACAGTTCCCTCGTCTCTGAACACTGGTCTGGTTTGTTTTTCTCTCTTCCTGCTCCTCTGCACCCACCACACAGATGGACGCAGGATGACATGCTGTGAGCAAAATAAGCAGACAGTGAATTGAGACACTCTGGGGATGGGGGAGAGTTTTGAGACCTCCAAGCTTTACCTGGCTCACAAATCTGATAGAGCACTTCTGGACACAGGGATTAACACCTGACTGCTGAGTGGGATCCCCCTACCTCCACAGGGTCCTAGGGTTTGAAGTGCAAGGCAGTGTTCAACTTATTCAGGGGGTCACAGCAAACCTTGTTTCCTTATATTTAAGCTATAAGTTACTATATTCTTTTGAGTAAAATGTGTATTTTTTTAAATTTAGTTTTTAGTTGTAGTTGGACACAATACCTTTATTATTTTTATGTGGTGCTGAGGATTGAACCCAGGGCCTCGCACGTGCTAGGCGAGCGTTCTACCACTGAGCCACAACCCCAGCCCCATAAAATGTGTATTTCTGAAAACCTTTAAATAGGCATTTATTTTTATAGTTATATAAATGTTTTACGTTTCTACTGGTATAAAATTTTTACATTTCACAGCCAGTTCACTAGAGCTCTGTGGTTACGTGGAACCACTAAATACCTGGAGCACAGGCCCAGGGAGCTGATGTAGCCTCAGGTAGAGGGTGCAGTGTAAGGCCATGATGCTGTTGGACAGCTGTTTTAAAAATTGGGGATGTCAATGACTCCTGTGGTCAGGATGGGAATTTCAATGTTGGAGGAGCCCAGGAGTTCATCAAGGTGTCCTAAGGAATTCTGCTTCTTCCCCCAGTGAAACAACTGCTGACTACAGAACAAAGCTGAGCAAGGAGAAAGCAAACTGAGGAGGAATGAGGCAGATACAGACGGGCCCAATGTGCAACAAGGAGTAAGCAGCACAGTCGCTGAGAGTGAGCAACACGGGGCTAGAAATGCGACGAGGGACACGAGGCCTCAGACTTACCCTATTATCACTGATCTTTAGAACTTTAGTTAGAAACAACAGCAGTAAGTTGGTCCAGGCTTCCCGATGGCTTTCTGATGTGAGAGTGAGGAAATAACTCAGTGCTTCACTGCAGACGCTGCAAAAGAAAGGTTTCTTTTTATATAACGTGCATACCTGCTGCTTTGTGTGTTCACTGAGAAAGAATGATTAAGAAAATTAGGGGAGTGAACATTAGCTACTAAGGAACTTGTTAGATCCCACGTGTTTACATTTTAACTAGTGTCAACATTAACATTTATATTCCATAAATTTAAAAAATCCCAGCAACTTAGGGGCCAGTCTGGGCAAATTAGCAAGACTGTCTCAAAATAAAATTTAAAAAGGGGCTGAGTAAGTTATAGCTCAGTGGTATAGTGTTCTGGGATCAATCCCCAGTACCACAAAAACAAGCAAACAAAACTAATTAGAAACTTAATGACTTAAAGCCAAGGTTTCAGAGTACATGTAGAAGCTTGATGTCAACAGACATGGGCTGAAACCTGGGGTGCCTCTTTCCTTCATTGCTTATTAGGCCCCAGACCATTCTGGATCTGAATAGTCTTGCCACAGTAAAATGGGAGAATACAGACTAGGTGATTTCTTAAAATTCTAAAAAGTATTTAACTGGTCTCTAAGAAAACCTACTTCCCAAGTAGACAGAAAACTATGAGGCAGATGACAGTATTCTTTCTAAATGGCATGTTTCTTTCTTAGCATGAATTCAAATTTTAGTTGTCACAAAGTCAAACCAATAAAAAAACAAAATATTTTTTCAAACTAAATGCAGGAAGGCTGGTAGGCAGGCAGGCTCTCATTTTCACAAATGGATGCTGTACAAAAATGGATTTTCTAATAATATTACGAAGACCTAAAAACTGTTATCAGAAAGTCTCTAAATTTTAGAGATAAAGCTTTGTCCTTCATACTGTGTTAGACATAATCTGCTCATATGCCACCAATTGTATAAGCACATTCACCTAAGCCAGAAATGATGGCACATGCCTATAGTCCCAGACTCTCAGGAGGCTGAGGCAGGAGGATCGCTTGAGCCCAGGATTTTGAGGCAAGTCTGAGCAACACAGCGAAACCCTATCTCAAAAAAATAAGCACATTCACCTGTAAGACTGTATTTAACTTTTGTAGTTGATCTGTAAAATAGGGGCTTCCAGGCCCCAAAGGTTCAGCTACCTTCTTGATCTTGTCATTGTCCCTTTCCTGCTCTGCGCCA